GATGGTTTGCATTCAAGTTCTAGCCTGATGCTTTAACCATCAGCTCTCAAACAGGGGTAGGCAAAGGTAAATATGACCCATTAGAAGATCTCTAGAGATGCACTAGTTCAGCAAGCATTTCTGGTTTATCAATAGTTTACAAAATGATCCCTATCCAAAAGCAAAAATTGCCTCTAAATTATACCAACAAAATCAATGTAGCTTAGAGATACCAAGAGTCAAGTTCCCTGTGAAAAATCAATGAACTCCATTCAACTCTAGTATTCCAAACAAAATCCTGAGCTCAGAATTCCAAGCATTTTGCACAAAATTCTGGTTGTTGTATCTTAATGTATCCATACAAATGTACAAAGTAAAACTTGCAAACTGGCATCAAGTTTCAAAGTGCCCTGGCTTCTGAAAGTTTGAACACTATAGCATTTTTATAACAGTCAATTATTAAAAGAATTCAAAAAGAATGTGTAAGAACAATTTATCTAGTCTGCTTGGAATATGAGGAACTTTTAAAAATATCCTAAGTTATAAAAAGAAAATGACTAATGGTTCGATAAACTGGACAATAAAGTATAAGTAACACTTCAATTTAATTTTGTATTGATCAGACTCCCACCTCAAGTATTATATCCCATTCTGTATATCACACTTTAAAAAGAATTCAGACACTCTGGAGCAGGTTCAGAGAAGGGCAATGAAGATCATCAAGGGAGTAGAAATTAAACCTATAAAGAAAGACTGAAGGAATGGGAAATGTTTAGACTTATAACAAAACTGAGAGGCATATGACAACTCTCTTCAAATACATGAAAGGATATAATACATAACCTGTTACCATATTACACAAGGCTCCAAGGTACAGAACAGTGGGTTTAATTTACAGGAATTCAATTTAGAAAGCTTTTTCTATATGTAAGAACCATTCAAGAATGGAATCTACAGTATTACCAATAAAAATTAAATACTCCCCTTTGCTGAATGTGTTAAAATTAGCGGACATTGGTATATCATAGATACTTTAATCCGGATTCCGGTGTTGGAGTAGATAAGTGCTACTTCTATCCAGTGCTACCTCCAGAGACCCAGTTTGGTACAGCGGTTAAGGCACCAGGCTAGAAACCAGGAGGCTGTGAGTTCTAGCCCTGCCTTAGACATAAAGCCAGCTGGGTGACCTTGGGCCAGTCACTCTCTCTCAGCCCTAGGAAGTAGGCAATGGCAAACCACTTCCAAAATGTTGCCAAGAAAACTGCAATGGGCCAGTCCAGGCAGTAGCCAGGAATCAACATTGATTCAAAGGCACCAAAAAAAAAAAAAGGTGCTATTTCTACAATACTCCATTTGGTTCTCTTTGAATTACTGTATCTGAAACAACCATTATGGGTATAGTATCAGAGAATTCATATAGCTAACCAGGTTACATGACATAATCGCACCTACTGCATGGTAGTGAAGGCACCAGAGTTTGCCTTGTTGCCTCCACTGCACCCTCATATAGCTTTCCAGCAAAACTTTCTCCAGCAATTCCTGTAATGTATTCTGAAAACATTATTTTATAATTCTTACAAGTTTGCTGTTATAAATTTGTACAGTATTTAAAGAATAACATTATTTCAAAAAGAAAACATTAAGTCCTCTAATACTGTAGAGATTCTGAAGCACTTAGTGCTGCCAGTCCATATCTAAATGCTAGAAGGTATCTTAACTAAAATAATGCCAACCTTCATTTATGATACAGGTAGTTCCTGGATTAAGAACGCCTGGGTTA